TTTTATGGACATATCAATTTAGTGTAGTATAGTGTAGTTCGGTAGGACTAAAAAAGTTCAGTTCAGTTCGTTTGAATTGATTTTTAATTTAGTTTAGTTCAAGTGAATTATTTTTTGGTTCAATGTAGTTTTTAACAGTCCAATACAATTCATTTTGTTCACCCCTAATTTTACGAATTTTGTTATGAAGTGTTCTTTGTCATGAAATATGCTCTCAAACACTTAGATTTTGGCGATTTGTGTCATTTCATCAATTACGCGTTAAAATACTAATGAAGTGCTCACATGATAGGTTTAATGTGGATAAACTTAATGATGTGACATGCTAGATGGAGGTTTAATTGCACTTTGTGCCCAAACTTTTGATTTCCAGTGAATTTTGTTTCCAAGTAATTTGTTTTGTGATTTATGTCCCCACTTTTTGCTTTATAGGAGAAATTCTGCTTTGATATGTAACTTATGAATTTGTGCTCCATATGATTTCTTGTGATTGGTAACTGTGTTATGTATGTCATGAATTGCGAATTGATTGAATTATTTGTGAATCTATGAGTGTCTATAGTTATAGTAGGAAACCCTTGATTCATAGAACATAGTGAAGATTGATGTTAATTGCATGAATATGTGAATTGATGGTCTAATAGAGTAGTTTTAGCTATTAATCAATAATTATTCCATTTGGTTTGGAGTTTTAGGGTTTGGGTTTCGTAATGTGTAATTTTCACACATTCTAAAGGTTTTTTTTGCAAACTAGTGTTGTGTTGGGTACAAATTTATGATGTTGGACATGATAATTTGTAGTGATCTATGTTTCATTTGTGTTGGGCACAAATAGGCCTTAACAAATGTTGTTTGACATTGTTTCAACGTAAAATTCTTGTCAGAGGGTTTTAATCTCTCACACTAGGCACAAAAAATGTCTCACTAGGCATGATAAAGTCAAAATTAGCTTTTGTGACCTTCATAAGAGTTGTATCTAATAATGTTAGCTTTCCAATGATATTGGAATCATTCAAAAAGGATGTCTAGAACTTAAGTTATGATGAAGTTAATAAGCGAAGGTCAAACTGTCAAATTTAGGCTAAAATGTTGCGGTTTTGTAATTTTTAAGCATAGTAGATAGTAAAATCAACTCTTGAGAACAACATAGAAGTTGTAGATAATTGTCTTGTTTTTCTACCTCGGCCAAGTGATCCATTTTTTTGAATTTCTCTTTTCCAACAACATTTCTTTCCTTTTTGGCCATCTTGGCCAATTAAACCATTTTCTCCTTTTCTTAACCATATTGGGCAACTTTCGAGCTAGAAAGCTCGAATAAAAATCATTACCATCTTATGCTTGTTTCGAGCCAAACCAACATCGACTCTCTTAATCAAAAACCCTCTTTGATATTCCAACTGAAAGACTTCACTATACCTTCTTCCTCCTCAAAAATGTATGGATCATCAACCTCAAATGGTTTAGTTTGAGCAAACATGGTGTTTTGCTATAATTTGCATAATAAACTCCAACTTCATAATTTTTTTGATCAACATAAACTAACTCCAAATTTCCTTCTTTATTCCAAAAGAAATTTTTTTGATGAAGAGTTAAAGGTACACACTAGTGCAAAAATCACTTCTAAAATAAGAGTTTTAAGATTAGTTAAGAAGGAATCAATTTTATAAGTGATACATTGACATTTTTGTAAATAATGTCACCACTTTTAAAATCGATTAAATTTCAACCAATTTTAAATGTTCTATTAAAATCAGTTAAAGGGTCTCTTTAGTACTACTTGTAAGATTGGTTATTTAAGAAAACTAATCTTTTATGTAGTATACAAAACTAATTCTTAAAGACCTAATTTTAAAAGGTCTTTCTTGGTACTACTTTTAAGATCGGTCATTTAAAAACTGATTTTGTAAGTGTGATAAGGCTCATATTTAATTACTTTTGGTTACAAATTCTTAAGCAATGTTAACTCTTTCATTCAACTTTGCATATTCTTTGTCCTCTTTTAATTCAATTTTTGTGCATATATAGTTAACTTGAAAATCATCTAACAATACCCTGATACACCCCCATTTTGTGTAGGTATTGAGTAGAAGAAGTTGGTGTTGAAGACACCTAAGATTGAAACTTGCAAAAGTTGAAATTGAAGAGCTAAGGAGCTAGAAAAACAACTTGCGTCAAACTTGCTTTCCTACATTGGGCGTGGTTTGAGGCAGAGAGCATTACTCTCTAGAAAATGTTAGCACCCGACGTGAAACTAAAATACACCAGGCATGAGTACTCTAATCTGGCTTGCTTACTCGTTTTAGGAAAAACTCTCAAAGGGTTTTCCCTCATTCACACATAGGGCAACTTCTAGGAGTTGTGAAAGGGATTTCTGGTGCTTGGGACCGTGTTGTGTGTGGGTTGTTCCTTCGATTCTTCCAACTTTATTTTGTTTTTGCCCTTATAGGTTGAGTGGCTATACCCATTTTTGTGGGGTTAGATGTAACCAACTGAGCTCTTGTTTAATCTTTATCCTATTAATGATAAACGATTGTTTCATTAACTGTTGTATTATGTTTCTATTTTTAATGCTTTCTTTGGATTGATCTCCCGTTGCTTGATATAGGGTTCATTGGGTATTGGAAAATAACCCTTAAAATTACCTCAAACAAAATACCTAGTGGGAAATGTATATAGGAATGGAGTTTGGCCCATTAGTAGTGTCAAACCCTAGTCATTAATGCAAGTTCCTATGTTGGATACTTAAGGGATTTATGTTGAACATATGTTCCTAGTCTCTTTCTCTAAGGGATTAGGTTTGAATAGACTTGTGAATTGACTAAACAATGTATGCAATAAGAGAAGAATTAATTGCATTAGAGTGAGATTCGGTGAATTTTAACCTTCACAAATCCATAATATTATTTCATGTCTTTTCCGCACACAAATTGTTCGATAAAATTATTCTTAGAGTTGTTTATTGTATTTGTTTTCATACTTAACACAAATTACAACATGGAGTTATTATTTAGTAATAATAATCATTAAATTCTTATTTTACCTTATCTAGTCCCTGTGGATGTGGTCTTTGATATATTACTTGTACGACCGGTGTACATGCCATGTTTTAGGTTCGTGGTTAGAAACACATTTAAATTTATCAAAGAGAGAAACTAACCCAAAGCGAATCCCAACAAGTTTTTGGCGTCGTTGTCGAAGACTAATTAAGGTAATTTAGAATTTATAGATATTTATGACTTCTCCCTTTATTTTTACTGTCATTTTTACTTTTGCATTTAATTCTTTGAACTGACTTGTGCACCCTAGTCTCTTGTTTTTCCTTGTATGCAAGGTACGATCTAGAGTAGGAAGACCCATTCCTCAGAGTCGTTGTTGGGTGATCTTCAAATTGAATGCATGACAAGAAGGAATAATATCAACAAGAGGAGGTAGAGAAATAGAGAAATTCAAGCTAGCCAATCAACCACTCATATTTTTGAAGCTACTATTTCTACCATTCCTAAATCCATCATGGAAGAAGAGGTGAAAATGGCGCTCATAACAACAATGCGAACCGGAGGTGAACTAAGGGGATGTCTTTACTTATACTAGTCCGAGGGAATTCTCTAGCATTGTTAGGCCCACCATGAATGAGAGGCTTGCAAAAATGAAGCCAACAATTCTACAACTTATTAGCTCTCATCAATTTATAGGCTTAGATCATGAAGACCCACTTACTCATCTCTACACCTTCTATGAGTTATGTGGTTTAGTTAGAGTTTTTGGGCTGATGATGAGGCATTGTTGATGAGGTTGTTTCCCTTTTCTTTGAATGGGAAGGCCAAGGCTTGGCTTCTTTCACTTGGAGGGATGTGTAGACTAAGTTCTTAGCTAGATCCTTTTCCCCATCCAAGAACACTGAAGCTAGAACTATCATTGCTACTTTTGCTCAAGGTATGAATGAGCCCTTAAGTGAAGCATGGGAGAGGTATAAGTCACTATTAAGGAGGTGCTCTAACCATGGATTTGAATGGAGATGCAAGTGCAGACTTTTTGTAATGGTTCACAACCTCAAACCAAGATGACATATTTGGATGTTTTTTTTGAAGGTTAGGTTATGTTTAGAATTGTTGAGGAGGCTATTACCATCATTGAGTCTATGGCATCCCTAGATTTTAGAAGGCAACATGCTAGAAGTTCTTCATAGAAGAAAGGAGTTTTGGAGTTGAGTACTCAGGATGAAGTCTTAGTTCAACATGAGATCTTTTCCCTGTTGGAACCTAAAAAAAATTCTAACCAAGCCAACAGATGGTTTGGACCGTCGGTTGGAAATCTCATCAACTTTGTATTGCCTAAAGATCAGACTAATTCTCCATTTGATGGTTTTGAAAATGGTTTGAAGGAGTCGTCGTTGATATTTTGCACAAAACATCAGAAAAAGAAAATAGTTTCTGAAAAGTCGACTTTGTTAGGCACCCAATGCCTGAACTCGGTACCTTAAGAGAATTTTAGCATTATAACAGCGTAATTAAGCTTTTACCCCTTTTATTTATTAAGCATAAAACAATTTATTTGCCTATATTCCTACTCTATTGCATACACATCATTCTATTACATGATACCTAATCTAAGCTAGCATACAACTAAAGCAATAAATAGAGCGAAAAGAGATTACAAACTCCAAAGCAAGCTTTTTATATTTCTTTTCTCGTATAAATTACACAAGGGTGCTTTTTGCCAGCCTCCTCGTTCTACAAGAAGCTCACTCGCTCAAAATTTTAGACTAGAAAAACTCTAAAATCTTTGTCAAATGGTCTAAAGATCTCTTAATCAAGTAGTGCGGTGAGTTTTTTTTTGCTCAAAGTGTCCTGAAGAGAGTTAGAGGGGAGAGAGAATGAAGTGTGTGGGAGAATGAGCCCTTGGCATGCTTTTATAAGCATCTAAGGAAGGAGAATGATCATTCCCAATTTGGAACAACCATTTCGTGCCTCAAATTTACACATATTTGTGCATTTGGGAACATGCATTCCAGGCCTCACATTCTACAAAGGGGGAACAACCATTATGCCTTTGGGAATGGTCGTTTTGGACCTAGGGTTAAGGTTTTGACCCTTTTTGTGCATAAATGCCTCCAAAGATTATCTATGTATGATTTCCATCACTTAATGTTATTAAATTCTTAAGGTCATTTTAAACCAATTCCTTGTTTCTAAAAATTCTTAGGATCCTAATTTTATAATTGATTCCTTGATTTATCAAATCAAAGTCCTTTCATTAAGTTTAAGAATTTATTTAACTAATGATTCTAAATCTATTCCTAACCTTTAAAATCATCATGTGATTTGATTCAAAATTGATTTAGAAAATATCTTCCAATTAAAGTCTTGATAAGTGTCAATTTTACTTGGAAATTATAACATTTTTGACACTTATCTAACTATGTTTAAAAGAAATATGTATTTTGTAATACCCATTTTTTTTATTATCAATGGCATTTTCGTAAATTTTATAAAGGCTGCATTATTTAAAAACATTGTATCTACAACTTATTGTTGTCTCACATTAATAGCAGTAAATTCAACATTAGCAGATTCATTATCTTTTGCTTCATGCGTAGATTTTTGTATATTTCTAAACCTTTAGTGGTAGTGTTGTTTGCAGATTCATATTTTTAAATTATGTCTCTAAATGAGTTGCACCTCATTGCTATCATGATTCTTGAGCTTAATTTTGCTGTAAATATAAACTTGATTTTCCTGTAAATTATGTTAGCAATTATGTCTTTTTAACTAGAATTCCACATTAGGTGTAGTGTTGTTTCTATAGTTTGCTCAATTACAACATTTTTCATATGATTGAAGTTTAAGGCAACTCCTGATTAAGTTTAATATGAATGTAGAACCATTTAGATAAAGCTTTTGAAAAAAATGCCCCTGTTAAAAAGATAATTGATTTGGGTACTCCTTCAAGTGGCTCTCCATCAACTATAGATGCATATGAGAGGATGTTTTCAACCATTCCAAAGTGTGCAAGATTTGGAAAGCTTTTCAAGGTTCTTTCACTTTATTCTCCTTTGAAAATTTTATATTTAAGGTTATGTTATTAACACTATATGTTTGTGTAAATTTTTTAGAATGTGGACCCTAGAACCTGTGAAGAGAAGAAAAATATAGATTGTGTTGATGATGGAATTCAGCCAATAGGTATTACTCATTAAAAGACAATATCCTAAGTTGTTTTTGTAAATGAAAAGTTGATAAATGTATACATGATTATTGTTATATTTAATAATGAGTTTTGTCTTTTTTAATAAGCAGAGACAAATCAAAAGAGTATGACTAAAGATGGTGACATCACTTCCTTGCTAAAGCTTCTTAGGAAAAATAATGATGAAGATGCTCGAAAACTAGCGGCAAAGACTTTGTTTGATAGGCAAATGTTGGAGGATTACTTCATTGGATAAACCTTTCTTATAATGATGAGGCTCTTAAATATTGTAGAAGTTGGAAAATGCATTTGTGTTTCTCTTTTCCTCCTTTTTTTTTCGAGTCCCTTGTTATACTGCTGTACTTATAGTGAATAATAGTATTTTGGTTATATCAGTTGATTGGTTTTGAATGAATGATCGATAGCTGTAATACAGATAATGTCACAACTTGAAGTTTACCATCAGCTATATATTGTCTTGCCTATGATTGATATAATTGTGAAGTACATGTATGTGAATCTGATATGGCTCACTTTGTCAACTGCCTCCTGCAAGCCAATCTAGAAAAGAAAATGATTTAAGGTTTCATTGGCAATAAATAAAAGCCGCAAAAGGAGTGGGAAGGAAACACTTTTATAAAATAATTTTTATGACCTTTAAAATAGCCACTAGAATTGTCACTAAAAAATTTAAGTTTTTCCAACAATTAAGTGAATTTTTATCAGCATTTAATATAATTGCCGGTAATAGAATTAGCGACTTTGGATATAAATGAGGTGCAACTCATTTAGAAATATGAATCTGCATACAACACTACCACTAAAGGTTTAGAAATATGCAAAAATCTATGCATGAAGAAAAAAATGATGAATATGCTGATGTTGAATTTACTGCTATTAATGTGAGACAACAATAAGTTGTAGATACAATGTTTTTAAATAATGCAGATTTATTTTTATAATTCACAATTTGAGTGATTAAATGAAGAAGTAAAATTGAAATGAAATGTGATAGAGAATGAAACAATGGAGGTATAAGAAATAACTCCAGAACACACAATGATACAGGTTCCAAAGTTTTAAGCATAAGGAAATGGAGCATACCTCACGCTTGATTGAACCACTTGCCTCAAACATATTACTATAAGGAGTTGCAATTTTTTCAACTTTATGTTCCTGCTCAACCATTATTAATACCTAGGACCTGATAAAAAACCTAAGGTATTAGAAAATAAATTTAAATCTTAGAACCAAAATAAAATATAATCCCTAAAATACTATAAGAATCAAAAGGTTGTGTAAATAAGTTAGCTAATAGAAAGTTCATGAATTTTTACTTATGAACCCTTATTTTTCATGTAGATTTAATGAAGTCCCAAGACTCTTAGATTTCTAAAACCCTCTCAACCATTTGAAAAGGGTTAAATGGATCAGAGATAGAGAGCAAAGTGGTTGTAGAGTCAAATCTGCTCAGTCATTTGCAAAAGGTTTAGCATATTTGGTCTAGAGAGGTGTGAAAATTAAATTTGGAGCCTAAGGGATAAGCGGATTGGAATTAGCTTAACTAATGGAGGGTTCTTCACTTGGAAGAATTCATATATTCACTCATCCATTTGGAAAGGGTTGAGAAAATTACTCTTTTTCATGCCTACTTTGTTTTAATTGCTAGATATATTTAAGGGAGGAAGAGAGAGAAAGCCACCATCAGTTGGAGAATAACAAAACTAGAAACAAAGTTGAAGAGAGAAAAACTTCAAGAGTCATCTTCATAGAGATTCGAGGTTCATCTTCTTCTTCTATCTTTTGTTTGTATATGAAAATTGTTTTCATTACTATGAGTAGCTAATCCACTCTTTTGTCAGGATTAAATGTAATTCATCAAATTCTTATATAAAATTTTTAATTTATATATATGATAGTTTATTATTTGGTATTAGTGATTTGATTTTGTTTCTAATGCTTAAAGTGAATTGATTAATCATCTTTTGATTTTTGATTTAGATATTGGTTAGTAAACATTTTCTAAATACATTTTGAATCAAATCACCTAATGATTCTAAAGACTAGGAATAGATTTAGAGTCATTATTTAAAAATATTATTGAACATAATGCAAGGACTTTGATTTGATAAATCAATGAATTTTTTATTAAATTATAAACCTTATAATTTCTAAAGAAAAGGATTTGGTTTAGAATACTTTTTGAGAATTCAATGACACTAAGTGATATAAATCATATATAGATAATTTTATAGAGTATAGGAGTGAGATAAATGAAATTCAATCCCAATAGCTTGTCTTATTGTTATTCTTCAACTTTATACTTGCTTGCTATATTTTTTATTTTCTTTACAAATTGAATATTGAAATACATAACAACATGATCATATTCGATGTACATGTTTCTTTACAAGTTTGAATTAGAATATTAGAAATTACAAAATATCTTTCAAATCTTTGTGGATATTAACAACCCGTACTTCAAAAATATATTATAGCAGACTTGGTATGCTTGTAGCAAAATGCCAACAAGTCTAAATCACAAATCAAAAGGTCAATGGTTAATTCACCCCAAGCATTAATTAAATCACTAACACTAAATAATAGAGTAATATATATATA